CAGCAGTGTCATTTGACTTAACAAACGAGGATCGGATGTCGTCAACCTTCTTTTCAAAATGGTTGACGAAGTCATCCACAGAGAGGCAGGAGGGGGGGGTAGGGGGAGGAGGATTCAGCAGGGAGGAGACGGTGGCAAAGAGCTTCCTAGGGTTAGAGGCAGATGCTTGGAATTTAGAGTGGTAGAAAGTGGCCTTAGCAGCAGAAACAGATGAAGAAAATGTAGAGAGGAGGGAGTGAAAAGATGCCAGGTCCGCAGGGAGTCTAGTTTTCCTCCATTTCCGCTCGGCTGCCCGGAGCCCTGTTCTGTGAGCTCGCAATGAGTCATCAAGCCACGGAGCTGGAGGGGAGGACCGAGCCGGCCGGGAGGATAGGGGACATAGAGAGTCAAAGGATGCAGAAAGGGAGGAGAGGAGGGTTGAGGAGGCAGAATCAGGAGATTGGAGGGAGAAGGATTGAGCAGAGGGAAGAGATGATAGGAAGGAAGAGGAGAGAGTAGCGGGAGAGAGAGAGCGAAGGTTGCGACGGCGCATTACCATCTGAGTAGGGGCAGAGTGAGTAGTGTTGGAGGAGAGCGAGAGAGAGAGAGAAAAGGATACAAAGTAGTGGTCGGAGACATGGAGGGGAGTTGCAGTGAGATTAGTAGAAGAACAGCATCTAGTAAAGATGAGGTCAAGCGTATTGCCTGCCTTGTGAGTAGGGGGGGACGGTGAGAGGGTGAGGTCAAAAGAGGAGAGGAGTGGAAAGAAGGAGGCAGAGAGAAATGAGTCAAAGGTAGACGTAGGGAGGTTGAAGTCCCCCAGAACTGTGAGGGGTGAGCCATCCTCAGGAAAGGAACTTATCAAGGCATCAAGCTCATTGATGAACTCTCCAAGGGAACCTGGAGGGCGATAGATGACAAGGATATTAAGCTTAAATGGGCTAGTGACTGTGACAGCATGGAATTCAAATGAGGAGATAGACAGATGGGTCAGGGGAAAAATAGAGAATGTCCACTTGGGAGAGATGAGGATTCCTGTGCCACCACCCCGCTGACCAGATGCTCTCTGGGTATGCGAGAACACATGGTCAGACGAGGAGAGAGCAGTAGGAGTAGCAGTGTTTTCAGTGGTAATCCATGTTTCCGTCAGCGCCAAGAAGTCGAGGGACTGGAGGGTAGCATAGGCTGAGATGAACTCTGCCTTGTTGGCAGTAGAACGGCAGTTCCAGAGGCTGCCTGAGACCTGGAACTCCACGTGGGTGGTGCGTGCAGGGACCACCAGATTAGAGAGGCAGCAGCCACGCGGTGTGAGGCGTTTGTATAGCCTGTGTGGAGAGGAGAGAACAGGGATAGACAGAGGCATAGTTGACAGGCTGCAGAAAATGGCTACAGTAATGCAAAGGAGATCGGAATGAACAGACACAGTAACAGACACTAACATGACCTACAGCATGGTCAAGCAAGTTAATGTTTCCGACATTTTTGGATCACTAAACAACTGTTGATTTAGAACCACAGAGAGTTATCGCAAGTCGCAAAGGACCATCTGGCAGAACGCCCAGAATATGTTCTTTAAGTTAAGATAGTAGACAGAGCCAGTCACATGTAGGAACCAATCCAATGAATCAAGTGTATGTAGGTTTAGATAGCCGTATATAAGGCTCTATGTAAGGAACACACTTTTAGAGCTTACTTCAGACTGGTACTTTATGCATCTAAGTTTGACTGTGACCTCTCCAGCTTGCTGACAATAAAGAGTGATTCATTTAATATTGACTTTGAGTGTCCTGTGTAAGAATTTCCACAACAACAACACAACGAGATGCAACAATTCAAGTTTTTCTATCAATGACATATGCTCTCAATGGGATTTGATAGGAGTGACGCCAAAATCCAAGCTGGCTTCCCTTTACACTTTGGTTTGGTGCGCCAGGACCATTCACAGTTGAGCTCCCTCAGTTTAGCTCAACGCTGATTGGCAAATTTTGTACACTTTTTTTGTCAAGGGAGGCCAGATGCTCACTGGCTTCCCTTTGCCTTCAATGCTACGGTCGGCAACAATGTCATACTTGTTTGAACCAGACAGCATCAGTTAGATGGCCTACACGTAGAGAGACGGGGGCGCTGTTTCGCTCCCTCAGATGCTTTCTCCTGTGAGATACATTCAGCCTCTTGCGAATTTAAGGAATATTATGAAACACAGAGAGACGAAAGATAAATGATATATATCAATATTTTTGTTGTCAATTTTTTGGGGAAGCCTGGCTTCGCTTGGCAAAAATGAATACACATATTGTATTGCAAGGTATGCTATATGTGTAGGCTATGCCATATGTATTGGCTAATATGCATATGTTGCTGTCGTTTTTAAACCTCCATTCTAGCAACATGACACATCTTTCTATATATTTACATGCTTTTATTTGCGAGCTTGTATTGACAAAGAAGGAAACTGAGTTTACCAAAAATCTTTACAAAAATAAATTAATAGTCAATTCGTCGAGTCTACCGTTAAGAACATTTAATCATGTGACAATTTTTGTTTCCGATGTGACAAAGTCCAAAATCCATTGTCTTGATTTTGATGGTAAATTAATAAAATTTTGCTATATAAGACTAAATAAATGTGTAATTTCAAACAAACCTGATGCTTGAGACAATTGATATGGAGTATCTTAATTAAAGAGCCACTGAACACGTCGATTGGTACGTGTTTTTCTAAACTAGATATATTTTTGGAGGTGTGTTTCTTGACCGATTTCGCGTTTGCTTAATTATGTTTGTTCCCCATGAGACACTGTAGAAGACCATTTCACTTCCTCAAAATCCCCAGAATGAATCTAAGAAATCTATATTAAATTTGGTCATTTTTGCGGTGTATGTTTTAGTTGTGCAATTTTACATCTAACAAAAGCCTTGTTCACATTACCAATAAGCACTCCGTTACGTTGCAGCGAATGTCATGCATTTCAATGGGGATGTCCACAACTGAGTGGAATCGCAACGCCCCCTTGCGGTTGAAGGCAGTTGAGAGATGGACGCAGCAAACTTCGACATTTTCCAAACTTTGCGTCGTCTTCAATCCAGCCAGAGTCCTTTGAAGAACAGGAAGTTACCAAACCACAGAAGAAGATGAAAATAATATGTGGTTTTCGGTGATGGCTTTGTGGGATAGCTAGCAATTTGTAAACAACAATTACCCATTCCTATAAGTGAGTACTATTTTAATACTAATGTTAAATAATAAACATTGGCAGTTAAGCCAATTATATTATGACTGTTGCCTCCCGTTTAAGTTTATTGTGATGGTAGTGACGTTTGTTTTTGATGATAATTATTAGGTCACTACAGTGGTATTTTCAACCTATCCTATCTTTTAGCTAAGCTAGCTGCTCTGCAGTGAAAGCTAGCTTAACTTGCTATAAAGTTAGAGAAACAAGTTGAGGAAAAAGTAACTAAACAAAACATGTTTTATTAACACCAGAAACAATATATTTATCCTGTCTTGAATGAAAAGGTCATATTTTGCAATCTCCCAAAATAAATGAGATCTCTATGAGAGACAGGCTCTTCTCCATTTTGCGTTAAACACTACACTTGTCCTTTCAGTAGCAGGGCCAGACTCCGTGAAGATGACATATAGCGTAATGAAATACGTCAGGATGTGTATGGGGCATAATACCGCGTTCAAAACAACTGGGAACTCAGAAAGATATGAGGCCAAATCATGACGTCAGTGATTTTCAGGTCGGAAAGCCAGAGCTCTATAAAGAGGGGCGAGTTCCGGAGTTGGAATTACGAGTCGGATGACCGTTCAAATCCATTTTTCCAAGTCGGAGCTCATTCCCAGTTGTTATGAACTCACTGAAGTAAGAAGTCGGAGATTTCCGCTTTTCCAGCGCCCAGTTGTTTTGAATAAGGTGTTTGATGCAGTATTTTGCAAGTAAAAAAATGCGCGACGTGTTATACACAAAGTCCGGCTTCTGACCAGGTCTGTCTCACTGTCTATGCTATTGGATAGAGCGCACAAACCACATCTGTTCACCACATTTTAGTGGGCAAATGCACATCATCAAATCAAAACCCACCCTTCATTTACCCGTTGTGACGCACGGATGTTCCAAAGTCCGTTTTAGACAAGCCTGACATTATGACCAAAATTATCCTATTTACACTTTGTTGTCAATTTTGACACTAGAATAATGCCATGTTCCAAACAACTCGGAAATCGGAAATCTCTGACTTTAGTGCTTTCAAGACAACTGGGAACTCGAAAAATCGTTTTGAATGGTCCTCCAACTCGACCTGAAGATCACTGACGTCATGATTTGACCTCGTATTTTTCCGAGTTCCCAGTTATCTTGAACACACCATAACTGTTTCTGACTCATGTCGCTGACACATAGGCCGTTTTCAAAGGAATTCGTTTCTTTCTAATTAAAGACATTCGCTGTTTAAACTGGAGAAGTGAGTTGCGCAACTGCAGTGAAGACTTTAAATCGCGCGCTGCGCCCCCGCAATGTCTCATAATTAGTTAAGACACACCTCCTCTAGACAAAAGAACGGAACATTTTCAGCTCTGTCCGGACAAGGAGACAGTATGTTTTAGCAGAAGTATTCTATGTAAAATTAGACCATTTTGTGGACGATGGTTAATCTCTTTTCTTCGATTATGCAAGCTAGTGCATAAGGCATCACATTCTACAGGCAATTTCGCTGATAAGCAAATGACGTCTCATTTTATAGCTTGCTTTGACCGTTATTAGCTGGCTTTGACGTTTGTAGGTATTGCAAAGTTAACCTCCATGCGACCATCCTCCTAGCTAACCTTATATTCTTTCTAACAGAAAGTACTGCTTTTTGTTGGGGGCATTGACTGTATGGTTGGGGGTCTAATATGATGCTTCAAAACTTACTTCAGGTTTTCGTCTACCACACTGCAGAGGCAACTTTTTTTACCATCAAGATCATGCATTTTCTCCTAGCCGGTAATTTACAGCTTCAATTGTGTTGTGTTACAGATTCACAAGATGGAGAACACTGCAAGTTTGACGGACTGGGCTGAGGAAACGAAACGCAAACCAAGGAAAATGTTGCCTTATCGGCTCGCTTGTCAGGTGGGTTTGTCTTGCCACAACTGTTGAATGGTCGGGGTGTATGGAGGGTGATCAGGGCCAGTTTAAAATTGCAACACTTAAATGCTCAATTGAAATGCTAAAATTATAAATGCATTTATAGTTTCATATCAGTGTACATGATTCATGAAACAATGAAATTGCAATGTTACAATTAAAATAGCTGATTGGAAACTAAATGAAAATGCTTAAAATAATTATAAATGGAAAGTGGCTGTTTTTGTGGTAGAAATATTTGACTCAAGTAGTCAACTCAAAAATATCTCAAGAAACTGGAGCTTGTGTATCCAAAAATTAGACTTGTATTATCTAATAACAAAAGCCAAGCAGTTCCATGGAACAACTGTCTCTCTTTAGCTTAGAGCTCCCTTTATGCACACACAAATGCACAAACATGCTTACATGGCATATACAGTTACTCCCCTTATGGCAAATTCCTAACTTATTGTAGTTCTGCGCCACCCTTCTCTTTCAACGTCCAGCTGTCACACATGGTCCACTCCAAAAGGTCATGAATGCTTTTTCTATATGAAGCCTCTCATTCTATTCGTTGCTTGGCTCAGGCACCTTCTTAAAAAAGAATATACATACATTCATTTAAAGCACAGTTACATACTGCATTGGCTATATTCCTTATTTAAGCATGCATCTGGATTATAAAATATCCAACATGTTTATTATATTTTACCTTTGGCATCTCCCTACATTTGCCTTAATGATACATAAAATATCTATATTTTTAATTTCACAGCTGCCCAATTTATTTAGCAGTTTCTCTTCATTTTCAAAGTGTATGCACATTTTTCTGGTCTCAGGCATAGTTACTCAACACTAGGCAAAGTTACTCATCAAATATGCGTGGTCACCATACCACGTCTTCCTGGTTAGTTGTTCGCATGATGCGTAACCCCTCTGATACCTGAAGAGTTGCATTGGCTATATAGCTTTGGTTTAGCGGGCTAATGTTATCTTCTGATGTGCAGAAGACTCTTGTTTGAACCCTGTCAGTCATATCTGTGCCATGGCTCAGATTGGTCTCAGAAGAGGAGGTCGAAGGATGGTTAATTGTAACTGAGGTGTTTCAGTTACTACATATGCATAATGAGTAGGGGTTTAAACGAAATTGGGATCCTAAACTTTAAGACAAATCCCTAACTGAAAAACACATTTTTTTAGGTAGATGCATAAAGTAAACAGCCTTGTGTGTGAATTTCCGCAGCAACTAAGAGCGATGAAGCACAGGGCTGAACTTCTCTGCTGTTTTGGTGCCCTGTGGCCTCATTTATAACCCTTGTGTACATTTTTACACTGAATATCTGCATGCGCCATTTCTGAAAAGACTGTGCACACACACATATTCAGATTTATAAACTTGGCACACGACATGTATACATACGCATATTTCTCATTTTATAAATCAGACTGGTCATAAAGCTGTGTGCGTGAATGAGCATTATAACTCTGCCTAAACAATGCTTTTTATGGTGACAATAAAACCCTTTATTTGCTGTATAATTTGTAACTATTTGCATTAGGCCATGGCATGCGAAAGACTAATTGTTGTTCAATATTTAGTTTATCAATAGATTATTGGGATTCAATGCCTGCCTTGGTATAGGCTCTGAGATTAAATAGGCAATGATGTCGCACTCCTATTACACAGCAATACTGTAGCCTAAGCTTACCCATACTGTCAAATATTTTACATACTGTAAGCTACCAGTCTATTTACTGTGTTGGCAGGATGTTTTTTAATCTTTAGCAGTAATTGATACTGTATCTGGAAAAGGACTGTCAGTTTCTGAAAGAGAACATTGGCAAATTGTTGTGAACGTGTCAGCAGAACATTTGAATTCAACAATGTTTTGCATCAACTTTGACTGCCCACGAATTCTGAAACATTGTCTAAGGCAGGCTACGATGTGTTTAATTTTACAGTACTTACAGTAGCGCCTACTTCAAGATAAAATACAAACTGTTTACCTGTTAAACTCTACTGTATACCGGTATTATAAACCGTGCTGCCTATGATATTGCAAAAGTTGAAATACATATAGCCTATCTATTTTCTGGCCTACTAGGTCCAATTAAATGAGAGATGCGCATGATCATTTGTTGTATGGCTCCTTCGAGAATATGAACCCGGTCTTCTGATTTTCGCTCTTCTCACTAATGCATGGTATAAAGTTTGTTGGGAGGTGCACATACTCATGTCAAGTATTTTTTAAACATTTATGCCAACTTTTGCGTGAACTGGCGCACGCACATTTTGGGGTATATTTTGTACATGCGCGCGGTTTATACATTATTTTGGAGTCGACTCTCCACCACTACTTCATCATCGTTAACAGTTGGAAAAATGGCAGAGAAAGGCAAGCAACAGCAGCGAAGTCCTGAATGGCAGTACTTTGAGAAGGAAATGCAAACTTTGCGACGTAATGGTAGTACAGGTGCAATGCTTAACCATCTGAAAGGGATGCTCCGTGAGACCCAAACTGTTGCTGGTAGCTGCATTGTGAATTCACATGGAATTTTAATGTATTTTTTCTTAGTTTTAACAGGAAAAACAAAAGTAGTTTAAACGTAAATAAAAAGTGTTAATTTGTCACATCCCATAATGATGAGTAGGCCTAACCTTGCCTGAGACATGAAGCGTTGCATTCGCTCCCTGAGTCAATTTGCATACACTGAAAATTCACATGGAAATTGGAAAGTGATAACGCTTAATTGGTTAGTTGAAAAATGAAAACATCCATTTAAGATTTCACTTTGCACATTGCATTTAGGGTTTTCTGTTTACCATTTGGCTTCTTCCATTGACCATAATCATTTTTGTTGTTGTTACTATGCAATTTAATTGTGGCGTTAATCATGCACACTGATATAAAAATGCATTTATAATTTTCACATTCCTATTTAGTATTGCATTTTCAAACTGGCACTGATCACCCTCCATATGGGTGACTGGTGTGTCTGAAATGTGAATGTGTTTTGACAAATTTGTCATGGCTGTTAGAATAATCACCTATCCATATGACTTATACACAATATACAATTCTTGTAAGTCATGGCTATGATACATTATGAATGATGATTTCCGGCTGTAGGACTGTGGTGTGAAGTTTGACACCATCGGCAGCTTCAAGCAGCATGTCCGCAGGAAGCAACATCAACAGGTGTGATGTCATGCAGCTCACAATTGTTCAAGATGTGCTTTGTACAAACTGCGTTTCTAAGCCATGGCAGGCCAACCCTCCAAGAGAGCTACTGGGGGTGCATGCTTTAGCTCCAGCCCTGCTCTAATACACCTGACTCAGTTTATCAAGGTCCCAAGGAGCAGGTTATTTATCTTATGTGTGTTAGTGCAGGGCTGGAACAATAGCCAGTAGCTCTGCAGGAAGACTGTTCGCCACCCCTGCCATAGAAACGCTGCCTGTACAAACCACAGCAGGAAATCAAGGTCTCGTGATAAGAGAAGTGAAACACAGTGCACATTTTGTTCAAGGATGTGCTTAAGTTTGAGACATCTGTATTTTTTTAGGCATTATAATTTTTATATTGGTGTGTTTTTAAATTGGCATTAAAACCACTTGACATCTTTTATCTTTCTTTGCGTCTGTGTGTCCGTCCCTCCAACTACAGCAAGTGGCAGAGCTCTTCCAGACAGGTAGGGTGTGTCTGGCTATCGGTCTCTTGTTGCAGAATGCTTAGAATAGATTTTTATCCAAAAGGTGATAAACGGATATAGTTTATTGTTGTTATACTGTAACCTTTCTAAGTGCCCAGTGAAAATCATATTTTTACTGATACTCAAATAATGTTGTTGACTTGTCGTATACTCGTATTTATGGCCAAAGCATGAATAGGAGAAAAACACTTAAACCCAACCTCAAACTTGTATCTCAAGCAGACCGTTTAAAAAAAATGCTTGCTATTTCTTCATAGAACATGTTACAGTGGCATGCGAAAGTATTCACCCCCCTTGGCATTTTTCCTATTTTGTTGCCTTACAACCTGGAATTAAAATAGATTTTTTGGGGGGGGTTTGTATCATTTGATTTACATAACATGCCTACCACTTTGAAGATGCAAAATATTTTTTATTGTGAAACAAACAAGAAATAAGACAAAAAAACAGAACTTGAGCTTGCATAACTATACACCCCCCCCCAAAGTCAATACTTTGTAGAGCCACCATTTGCAGCAATTACCCCAAGACACTTGCAGCTGTATGTCTCTATAAACTTGGCACATCTAGCCACTGGGATTTTTGCCCATTCTTCAAGGCAAAACTGCTCCAGCTCCTTCAAGTTGGATGGGTTCTGCTGCTGTACAGCAATCTTTGTCATACCACAGATTCTCAATTGGATTGAGGTCTGGGTTTTGACTAGGCCATTCCAAGACATTTAAATGTTTCCCCTTTAAACCACTCAAGTGTTGCTTTAGCAGTATGCTTAGGGTCATTGTCCTGCTGGAAGGTGAACCTCCGTCCCAGTCTCAAATATCTGGAAGACTGAAACAGGTTTCCCTCAAGAATTTCCCTGTATTTAGCGCCATCCATCATTCCTTCAATTCTGACCAGTTTCCCAGTCCCTGCCAATGGAAAAACATCCCCACAGCATGATGCTGCCACCACCATGCTTCACTGTGGGGATGGTGTTCTCGGGGTGATGAGATGTGTTGTGTTTGCGCCAAACATTAGCGTTTTCCTTGATGGCCAAAAAGCTCAATTTCAGTCTCATCTGACCAGAGTTCCCTTTTCCATATGTTTGGGCAGTCTCCCACATGCCTTTTGGCGAACACCAAACGTGTTTGCTTATTTTTTTTCTTTAAGCAATGGCTTTTTTCTGGCCACTCTTCCGTAAAGCCCAGCTCTGTGGAGTGTACGGCTTAAAGTGGTCTTTTGGACAGATACTCCAATCTCCGCTGTGGAGCTTTGCAGCTCCTTCCGGGTTATCTTTGGTCTCTTTGTTGCCTCTCTGATTAATGTCCTCCTTGCCTGGTCCCTGAGTTTTGGTGGGCGGCCCTCTCTTGGCAGGTTTGTTGTGGTGAAATATTCTTTCCATTTTTTAATAATGGATTTAATGGTGCTCCGTGGGATGTTCAAAGTTTCTGATATTTTTTTATAACCCAACCCTGATCTGTACTTCTCCACAACTTTGTCCCTGACCTGTTTGGAGAGCTCCTTGGTCTTCATGGTGCCGCTTGCTTGGTGGTGTTGCAGACTGTGGGGCCTTTCAGAACAGGTGTATACAGTTGAAGTCGGAAGTTTACATACACTTACGTTGGAGTCACCAACTAACTATCATGGTCCAAACTAAATTTCACTTCACCATAGAGCAGCATAGGGTTGCTTTCTGTCAACCCAGTCAGTATTATGTGTCTCTGAGACAATATAACTCTTAAATCTTAATTTAAAAAGTAACAGTTTAGGAGAACAAGGGCTCACTGTTTTCCCTTCTCCCTTTTGTCTCTCTCCCTCCCACTTTCTCGTCCCCTCTCTCTCAGATGAGCACCAAGGTCAAGGTAAGCCAATTCTGCCGTCTTCAGTTAACAAAGTAGTCAACCCTGGACTTTAAGTGTAAAGACTGGAAGACGAGTCTGAATCTGTTCTCTGTTATGGCTCTATTCCATTTCGATCCCTAGCTCTTTCCCCTAGCCCACTCTCCAAGCCCCTTCCTCTAGTCTAGCCCCTACCCCTTCACTGTTCACAATGTGAATGGACTGGATTGATCTCACTCGCTCTGTGTATTTTTTTGGTGTAGTCTACTTTGCCTCTATCTTGGTTCTGGAGCATCTTGGCAGGAAACCCACAAACGACCCACATCCCATCATCGGTAAGTAGAAGTGTGTGTGTGTGTGTGTGTGTGTGTGTGTGTTCCTTCGTTTTTTGTGTGTGTTTCTGACTTCTTGATTTGTGTATGTCCCAGGTCTGTGCCTGGTGACATTGTGTGTGAGTCCAGAGTGGAGGGATACGTTCTACCTTTGTCACGTGTGTGAGGAGAAGTGTGGCCCAGGACAGATCGTAGACCACCTCACCTCCGCTGACCACCTCTCCAACTACTACGTAAACACACACACACACACACACACACACACACACACACACACACACAAATGAAACAAAACAAATTACAGACTCCTCTGGCTGCAGTTTAATTGAAGTGTGTGTGTATCAGAGCTACACAGACCCTGATGTGTTGAGTTTCTCCTGGATGCCTTCCATGGATATGTCGAACTGCATACGGCCGCTAGCTGTCAAAGAGATTGACAAGAATGGACCTGGAGTGCTACGGGTAACTGTGGGTGTACTGGTTTTCACATTGTGCCTGGTGTGTGTGCTGTGTCGGGCCTACTCACATGTTTGTGTTTGTAGGTGCTGGACATGCCTAAGAGTGTGTCTGTGAGGTTGAAGAGAAGTGGCTACTCTAAAGGTACAACTGTCACCATTACTGCTATTCATTGGTACAGTAAGAAGAGTTACTCCACACGATTAACTAGCTTTTCCCCTCACTCACTCAGTCATGCAGGCTCTGACTCAGACTGACAGGCTGGCTGAGTGTATCAGAGGTGAGTGAGCATGTCCTTTTCTCTTCCTCTTCAATCACTTCTTTATCTCTAGTTTAACATGGACATGTTTACACCATCTATCACACTCTTCTCTCACTCATCCCTCTTCCTCTCTAGCTGACAGACCAGAGAGGATGACTATACAGGAGTACCACAGAGACCCCAACAGGAAACACCCTCTGCTGGGTAGGAACCATTATCATCAATAACACTGTAGCAGGGGGGAAGAGGAAGGCTGTGACACAGTATGTCAGTGACCTCAAAATGGCGTGTACACATCGCAGTAGGCTCTGGTTCTAGAGACCCATAACCACTAGCGTTGCACGGTGTACCGAAACTTTTTCGAAACTATAACATGAAAAACGGTCCGCTATTAGAATGTATTTCTGTCAAATGTGTTGCACATTTGAAAATAAACTAAATGTATTGAACTTGTTAGAAAATGTATTCATTTGCCCAAGCTTATTGTAAGACATGAACAGAATGCATCAGTGATTTGTATTCCCTGAAACTTTCTGAAGGAATGCCCCGGCTGTGTGTGCCGTGCATGTATATCTACCACTTTGTGTAGCCGTTATGATGCTAATGATAAGTCTTCAGGTAGATGGAAAGGCTTTCCCAAAAACCTTTTCAATTAAGTACAAATTAGCCTATGCCTACCTGGCAGAATAATTATTATTAACAGTGCTAGGCTCATGCCACTTAAATTAAAAGGTAACTACACTCAAATCTATATTTCTTAGAATTTTCCCAGACCTCAAAAGTGGTCTCCTGATATGGTTTAAGCGTTGTTGTGGACTTAACACATTCAATTTAGTAGTTTTTCTATAAAAGTGTCTTTTTTTTAAACCTGAAAGAACTGGGAAACATCTGTCATTTTTGCCGCGGTATCATGATACTAAACCTTTGATGGTAATTAAAATATTGAGAACAAGTTTATGACAAATGCTTGAATTCAAGTCTTTATTTGCCAAACCTAAGTTTTACATCTCCAAGTAGTTCTAGTACATTCTGAACAACAACATGTTCACAAGTCTAAATATAAACATGACATCAGCATTATACACTTATTCAAGTTCTGTTACTCCTAACGAGTAGGCTTTCTTCCTTATCTATCAAAACACACACAAGCAGGGGTGAGATGGCACACAGGCCCTCTCACCTCCCCTGGTGCCTTTGCTTAGGTCATGCTGACACAGGCTCACAGGCTTGAGTATAATCACAGTATACATTTTTCATTCACAATGCAAATAAGAGTGCCCTTTCATCTCTATGGTTCCCGTCAATAGCCAGAGCATAAACCTGAGGCGAGTTCAACAAGCTTTCTGTTTGCCGTGAACATGTTGCCAGAGTAACAATTTCAGTTGAACGATTTTTGAGTGAACATTCCAAAATGTTACGGTGAAACATCAGACAGCTACTTTTTGTAAGAATTACTGTTGCTTTTTAGCGACAATATTCAAAATGAAAACGACTTAGCTATTCTTACTAAATATAGTAGAAAGTCTACATGGCCACTTGATTATTTTTAGCGACAGTTTAGACCTGAAACAGACACTTACGTTCGCCGCACACTATCTTCTCAGACTGTTAGCGGCTAACACAAAACAAATGGATTATGTTAGCCAACGTTCACAAACTATTTCCCTTGTTGAACACACCGCTGTGTCAGTGACTCCCCCTAACTTCTGACCCTTTACCTGTGACCTGTAGGTCTAGAGCACCTGGTGGAGTACTGCTGTGAGGGGCGTGGCCAAAGGAGATCCTACCTCTGTCAGCTCTGTCGCCTCCCCGTCCCCTCACGGATTGTCATCCAACACATACTCAGCTTCAACCACCTCTACTGGTACTTCGTAAGTAACTGTTTGTGTGTCTGGGGACTCACACTTGGCGAGAATCTGCAACCAGTCATTTTCAATGAAAGGACAGACACACATCAACTTAAAGGTCGACCACAAGAGAGCAAGCAACCAATGTTCTGCATTTCCCAATATTTTGCAAATTGCAGCGATGCGACTGCACGATAGCCAATCGGAAGATTGTTCCCCCCCCCCCCCCCCATGGGTGTATAAACTACTTCATCGCTCATTATCAAGTGTGAGTCTGTGTATGTGCGTGTGTGTTACACCCTCTACTGGTATTTCTTGACTATGTCTGTGTGTAGAAAGCGTGTCACCCCTCCACCCTCCTGATGAAGGACTGTTATAAGGAGTACAGCTGCAGTTTCAGCTCCATGATCCTGGACCTGGCCAATCAGGCGCAAGCCATCAGCCAGTCAGCCAATAAGGAGATACAGGTGAACAATGCCACACCCTGATCTGTTGAGACCGCACCCCCAAACCAATAATTGAATCTGACTGATAGCCTAATGGTCTGTCTGTTTGTTACAGCGAGTTGTGTTGGAACCAGCAGAGTTCTCCTCAGTGGAGTTTGTCTACATAGCGGGTGAGTAGACACGCATACAAATGCACTCTTTAAAATAATTCATAGATGTGCCCTAGGGTGGTCTAGAGGTCTAAGCCTCTGCCTCCGGAACACATAAAGTGTTGCAGCATGGGGTTGAAACCGGCCAACTGCTATTTCAGCAACTATTTCAGCAACTCACACCTTTTTTAATTTTTTTAAATCATACATACATATTTTGATTCTCAAATGTGTGTACACACTGCAGGGTGTCTAACACATAGTCTGACATATCTTTGCTGTGTGTAGCTCTGAGGAAGTTGCAGACCATTAGGAGCGAGCGTAAGGAGGGCAGCCTTAAGACCAGCATTACACCTGGAGACAAACTGGGTACGTACTGGGAAGGAATGGTTTCACATGCTGCCTTGTTGAAAAGCACATCTCTAACTCTGTTCAATGTCTATTCCTTCCTCTGTTTGTATGACTTCTGCCTCTCGCTCAGTCACCCTCAAATCAAAGTTTATTGGTCACGTACACAGTTTTGCAGATGTTATCGCAGGTACAGCGAAATGTTTGTTTCTAGCTCCAACAACGCAGGAATATCTAGCAATGCAGTACACACATAATCTAAAAGTAAAACAAAAAGTAAGAACAACAAATTAAGATATATCAGAACGAGCAATGACTGAGTCCGGAATATAAATATATATACTAAATGGTCAAATGTATGTGGACACCTGCTTGTCGAACATCTCATTCCAAAATCATGGGCATTAATATGGAGTTGGTCCCCCCTTTGCTGCTATAACAGCCTCCACTCTTCTAGGAAGGCTTTCCACTAGAAGTTAGAACATTGCTGTGGGGACTTGCTTTCATTCAGCCACGAGCATTCGTGAGGTCAGGCACTGATGTTGGGCAATTAGACCTGGCTCGAAGTCGGCGTTCCAATTAATCTCAAAGGTGTTTGATGGAGTTGAGGTCAGGGCTCTGTGCAGGCCAGTCAAGTTCTTCCACACCGATCTCGACAAACCATTTCTGTATGGATCTCGCTTTGTGCATGGGGGCATTGTCATGCTGAAACAGAAAAGGTCCTTCCCCAAACTGTTGCCAAAAAATGGAAGCACAGAATCATCTAGAATCCAATGGCGGCAAGCTTTACACCACTCCAGCCGATGCTTGGCATTGTGGATGGTGATCTTAGGCTTGTATGCTGTAGCGTTAAGATTTCATTTCACTGGAACTAAGGGGCCTAGCCCGAACCAAGAAAAACAGCCCCATACCATTATTCCACCAAACTTTACAGTTGGCCCTATGCATTGGGGAAGATGGCGTTCTCCTGGCATCCGCCAAACCCAGATTCGTCCGTCGGACTGCCAGATGGTGAAGCGTGATTCATCACCCCAGAGAACGCGTTTCCACTGCTCCCGAGTCCAATGGTGGTGAGATTTACACCACTCCAGCCCGACGCTTGGCTGGAGGCTTGGAAACCCATTTCATGAAGCTCCTGACCAGCAGTTCTTATGCTGATGTTGCTTCCAGAGGCAGTTTGGAACTCGATAGTGAGTGTTGCAACCGAGGACAATTTACACTCGGTGGTCCCATTGTGTGAGTTTGTGTGGCCTATCACTTGCTCCTAGATGTTTCCGCTTCACAATAACATTGCATGTCTGTGTGCTCGATTTTATACACCTGTCAGCAACGGGTGTGGCTGAAATAGCCTAATCCACTAATTTGTGTATGTATATGAATATAAAAGGTGTGTACAGCAGTAGCTATACAGTGCCTTCAAAAGGTATTCACCCACCTTGACTTTTCCCCAATTTTTGTACAGCCTGAATTTCAAATGGATTAAATGGATTTTGTCACTGGCCTACACACAATACCCCGCCTACACACAATACCCCATAATATCAAAGTGGAATTTTTTGTTGTTGAAACTTGTAGAAATTAATAAAAAATGAAAAGCTAAAATGGCTTGAGTCATTAGGTATTCAAACCCTTTTGTTATGCAAGCCTAAATAAGTTCAGGAGTAAAAATTTGCTTAACAAGGCAAATAATAAGTTGCATGGACTCTGTGTGCAATAATAGTGTTTAACATGATTTTTGAATGGCTACCTCATCTCTGTACCCCACACATACATTTATCTGTACGGACCCTCAGTCGAGCAGTGAATTTTAAACACAGATTCAACCACAAAGACCAGGGAGGTTTTCCAATGCCTCGCAAAGGGTAGCTATTGGTAGATGGGGGAAAAATGGGGAAAAAATAAAGGAATGCAGCTAAGCACAGGCAAATTGCTTGGAGTTGCTTACCAAGACGACTCTGAATGTTCCTGAATGGACGAGTTACAGTTTTGACATAAATTTGCTTGGAAATCCATGGCAAGACCTGAAAATGGTTGTCTAGTAATGATCAATCACCAATTTGACAGAGCTTAAAGAATAATGGGCAAATGTTGCACAATCCAGGGTAGAGTACCGGGTGTTAGCCGGATAGTGACAGTGTCTAAGGTTCAGGGCAGGGTACTGGACGTAGACTGGCTAGTGATGACTGTTTAACAGTCTGATGGCCTGGCGATAGAAGCTGTTTATTAGTCTCCCGCACCCTGGGGTGTATTCAGGATCTTTGGATGTTACTGGAGTGCTTTGTAACCAAAGTTCTGCTGAATTGCAGAAGGTAGTCATGTGGTGCCATCTAACTAGCCTCTGTTAATGGTGTTCTATAACTTCCCTCTCCCCCCCCCCCTCCCTGGCCTCAATGTATGTTCAACCCGTTATGTGGCCTCTAAAAGGACTATGAAACATGAATAAGGCTTTAGGTTTCAACTCTCTGAATAGTACAGTGCCAGAGGACCTCCTGTGTGCTGGGTCAGGGTACGTGGCTCTGGACGAATGTGCCGTACACACTACCTGACTAGCTCACTGGGAGAGAAGAGGAACTGTTGTGGTAGAAATATTTAACTCAATATCTCTCAGAAACCGACACTTGTGAATTCAGAATATACTTTATTACAACGTAACAAAGCCGAGCTGGTCCCTGACTCGGCGCTCTCGTTTTATACAGTTTTATGCTTACACAAAATTTATAGTCATGCTTATACAGCATACATAGTTACTCCTCTTTATGTAAATGATAAACATCTTTCAGTACCACGCCACAATTAGCTTTCAAAGTCCAAGTACCCCGTACTGTTTACTTTCAGGTCTATGTGTCGTTTCTCTAGTTGGGGCCTTTGCCTCTTATCTCATTATATTGGTGGCGTGGCTCGGACACTTTCTCAAAAAATAATATACATACATACGTTAAAGAACAGTTACACAATGTATTGACTATATTCACTATCCAGGCATGCATCTGGATTACAAAGTGTCAATCATGTTTATGTGTTGCCCTTATCATTTCATAACATATGTACTAGAAAATTATCCATACTGTTCCAAAACAACTTTCCCGTTGAAATTTGCCTATGTGGCATCGGTAGTAGTCATATATATATACATAAATTATAGTTCAATCGAGTACAGGCTTAACTGAATGACAACCGCAACAGAATATAATAAGGACTTTTATTGATTAGTTTGAGGTAGGCCTCGTCTCCTGAGAAATGCTCGTCATAGCCAGATGCTGATGACCGGTTACCCTATGCTGGGCAGCTGACATTGAAACCCCCCGCTGGGGGAAAGGAGTTCCAATGACTGGCCTTAAGGTTATTATGTTGGGGGAGGTGGAAGGTCGTTGGAAGTCTGTTGCGGCAAAAAACGTGGGAGACGCAAGGCTAGAATTGACATATAAATACTCCTAGATTCATGCCCATTAGTTGAAAGAAAGAAAAGTGATCATTGCAAAAGGTTAATCAGCAACCGTGGTGGATTTGCCTTAGTGTGCCATGCTCATAGGCTAAAGTTAATAGGTGAATGACATTCCACTCGCTTGCTAATAGGAAAGGAGGAGAGATGTGATGCTAAACTGATGAGGTAACATTGACACTACCCTATAAATACCTGCTATGCTGAAAAGGTATCATTATAACCACTACCACATAAATACACACCTGCTATGCTGATGAGTGCGATAGGAATTCTGAGTTTACTAAATTAATGAAAAGTGACGATCCATTCAGACCAGCCTTACTGATTGAACATTCGTAACTACATTCACAAAATGTTATGAAAAAGGGTAAAAACGATAAATTTGGACGTAAGTTAGTGTTTTCTAAAACAAGAAAGTCTGAGATGAGGGGAATCTGTGACATCTCTGCTTTTCTAATATTTGAAGGTTTGGTTTGATTTCAAGTAATGCCGACTAACACGTGGGTGTTTGTTCGTAATGTGAAGGGAAAATTAAGCATAATGACAATTGTGTTAGACAACTGTACTGTGTGCTTTTAAAGTTATTATCCAAGTTGAACTAGAACTGGACAAATCTGGATTTGAGGAAGGGGAGTATGAAACATGGTAATCCCACATGTGTTATACATTGAAGAGAAGGGGGTGGGAGGGTTGTATATCACTTGGATACCTATATGTATGTCTTATATAATAGATACGCTTGCCAAAAAAAGAATACTGATCTTAACCAGATGTTCCTTGCCTAAATGAGCTAAAATGTATTTCTGTCTAAGAGAGTCCAATGCAGGCTGCGTCCAGAAAAGGTCTCCCCTGCGCAGGTCACTATTGAATAAACCCTGGGTGAATGCTTAACAGTTTTCACGACTACAAGAGCCGATTTTTCTACAACAGTAAGTTTTCTCTCTGAGCTCACACCGACCGTGGTAACGTTAGAGGTTGGATATTCAACAGAAATGTGGCTCTATTGGTCTAGTTAGGGACCGTCAATAAATAACACAATTTAAATGGGACAATATTTTCTAAATTCAATTACGCCAAATGTTGCTTACTTAGAAACCTCACCAACTGTAAATTGTAAAAATTCATAATCAAATATTGACATTTCATTACAACTGGAAGGTGTGAAAATATTGTTCCATGTACATTGTGTAATTTATTGATGGTCCCTAACTATCCCCAATAGAGCTGCTAGTCTGTCGAATATCCAACCTCTAACTTTACTGCGGTCGCACATCGGAAGCTCCGGCTAAAGAGTAACGTTCTGATCTCACATCAGTCAAGCACCGACGCTAATTGGCTAAAGGTGGCTAAAACCGACGCGAAAACAGCCCGTACAGCCTTTTCTTTAAAACGTCCCAGACAGAACACTCACACCCTACCTGAATACCTGGTTTACTTAAGGCTGGGGCTTAAAGCACTACGGGTTTGCTAGAGCAGAGAGGTGATCTGAGTGGTCCAATACAGGACATAATATATATATATATATATATATATATATATATATATATATATATATATATATATATATATATAACAGAACGAGTATGGAGAGTGGAATGTGCTGATGTAGAATAGTCTAAGTAAAGTATGATGATATATAGAAGAGAAGGTACTGCCCTCCTCAATCAGTTTGAGTGAATGTTTCAGATTGTGCCTTTTCATGGCAGGGCCCCTGATCGTATCTCTCTCTGTTCCTCCTTCTAATAATAATAATAATAATAATAATATGCCACTTAGCAGACGCTTTTATCCAAAGCGACTTACAGTCATGCGTGCATACATTTTTGTGTATGGGTGGTCCCGGGGATCGAACCCACTACCCTGGCGTTACAAGCGCCGTGCTCTACCAGCTGAGCTACAGAGGACCACTTCTGCTCTGTGGTTGGTGTTTGGCCAAGTGCACTCAATGTCCCCTCTCCCTCTTCGATAACACTTTATTTGGATAGTCCAGCTGTAGATTATCCAACCCTTATCCTAACCGTAAACTTAACTCTTAGCCTAACCTAACCCTTATTCTAAACCGTACCGTAACCATAGCAAGCAGTTGCTTATCAACAGATGGTTTGTTAATGGTATGGCCATCTGTAGAGCATCTAGATGGACTGTCAGGACTATCCAAATCAAGTGTTACCCCCTCTTTCTCTCTGTTTTAGAGTTGTGCAAGTCAGGGACTCAAACTCTCTCTGATGTTCTCTGTCTGGATCTTCTTTAGTTCCTTTCTCAGAAGGGTCAATGCTTACCAAAGATGTTACCATGACTACCATTGCTGAGACTGTTCCTATGGAGACCAAGTCAAGCCCAGAGACCTCTGTCACACCTACAGCTGTTGAGGAGACTGTAGCTACAGCTGTTACTACTGTAGCTACAGCAAGTACTGCTCCAGTTGTTACCACCGCTACTAGCCAGAGAGGGACCTGTCGACTGCGCTGTCAGGTGAGGAGGAATTCTGTTCCTCACATCACACTGTAGCCACAATTTCTCATTTACTACAGTGTCCTTCCGTACTTAACCTCAGGTAAAAGTTCTGCTCCAGGACTGGTGACATGCCTCCTCTCTAATGTTGGAATAGTGGCTGCTCAACATGTTTTCTCTACATCTGGAAATACTTAAACTCTGTCCCACGCACTCTGAGGAACAGGAGGCCCATCAATTGTGTGTGTGTGCATCACTATCATCTCTGTATCCACTTCAGGACTGCAACGTGATATGCAAGTTTGTGTCGCAGTACAAGTTACATGTGCGTCACTGGAAACACAAGAAGATGCTAGGAGATATCTTTGGACCAGGTACTAGTGATGTTGACCACCAACAATACAATTCAACTACTGCATCGTTGCCCAATCATACTATACATCTTTTAAGAGTTACATTGTTTATAAAGCATAAGAAGAGTGGCTAGATTAACGAATCTTCCCCGAGGTTGTCTGAGGCAGAAGAAAGAGAGAGAGAGAGAGAGAAGTCTATTCTGTCTCTCTCGCAGAGAGAGAGAGAGAGAGAGAGAGAGAGAGAGAGAGAGCGAGAGAGATGAGAGGAAGGAGAGAGAGAGAGAGAGAGAGAGAGAGAGATGAGAGAAGATCGCTCTCTCTCTCCTATATCTACTCTCTCTCTATCTCCTCTCTCTCTCTCTCTCTCTCTCGCTCTCTCTCTTCTCTCTTTCTCTCTCTCTCTCTCATATATTCTCATTCTCAGGGGACGAGGACAGTAAAGGTGAGTTCTTCTGACTCCAATGAAATGTATATGTTTCATATGTTCATCTCACCGTCTAGTTCTACTGGCCATAAAGATCACTCTGACAACACTCTTCCTTCCCCTCTTTCTGCCGTTGGTATAGCCTGCATCCCATCCTTTACCATGTATGAGTACCTCCGGAACCCAGAAAGAACCGAACCAATTATTGGTAAAGGGGTGACCTCTTTTCAGAAAAATGTCAGAAGTTAATATTAAATGTATATTAAATATTATGCTCTGTTTTATCCCTGTTGGGCTACCATACATACTGTAATCTGACGGACTCCATTTCCCAGGTGTCTATCTGATGGTGATGTGTGTGAGTACTGAGTGTTGGAAAACACCCTTCTACCTGTGTCACACCTGTCAGGAGAAAATCCCTGCCCATCTTGTCATGACTCATCTCACCTCCGCACTCCACCTTCAACACACCCTGGTCAGTGTGTATGTGTGTTGCTTTTTAGATCACCCTTTATGTGCTACGACTGCTTCTAAATTATTTTTCAAACATCTGTTGTGCTTATGAAGCCTTATGAATGCTTTATAAAGTCTGTGTATAAATTGTAGTTAGTTGAATGTGGGTGCCCTATCTCTCTGTGTATCAGATGTACCAGAGTCCGCAGCGTCTGCCATTCGGCTGGGGGACAGAGTTGGGCCTGGAGGTCCTGAAGACTCTGGCCTGGGAGGAGGAGAGAGTCCGAGGAGAGAAAGACAATGTACTGAAGGTAGGGAAGGATGGGGGGAGGAGGAGAAGGAGATGGAGCTAAAGAGAGGAGGGGAAGCTGCTCTGGAGATGTAAAGGTTTATGGTTTCTCACTCCTTTTCTTGTCCTCGCTCTCTCCCCCAGGTGTTTGATATTCCTGCCAGTGTTTTCCACAGCATTCAGATGTTCTCCTACCCCTCTGGTAAGACATCTCCCCACTAAAAATAAGAATATATTTATTTTATATAGCGCTTTTCATTACAAAGGGAATCTCAGACACTTTTAAAAAACAAATTTAGGGTTGTGGCAGGTTTAGTCTTAGGCGATGGTCTTCCACAGCTTATAATGTTGATACTGATAGTGTTGAGGCAGTTCAGAAAGGTATTGGAGAGGGCGTTGACGGTACAGGGAAGGAGAAGTGTCAGTCTTCATTGGGCACCTCGTAGTCTCTTCCTCCGTGGGTAGGCTGGATCATCAACTGCCGAAAGTGTAGCACTGCCTGCATTCATGTCCTCTCTTGTGCTCGCTCACTCTCATCCCCTTCTGTTTGACCTCATCCTCTAGCCATGAAGAGACTCAAGGACTTCCATCATTATCTAAAAGGTTAGTAGACATTCATCATAAAGTTTCTCTGGTGTCATAAGAGGAGCAATCAGGGCTCTAAGAATGTTTTACTGTCTGTGTCCATGTGTGGTATCCTTAGTTGACAGGCCGCTGACGTTTTCCGCCCATCTGAACAACAAAGAGAGGAAGTTTCCTATGCTGGGTGAGTACAGAGAAAATGGAAACAGGAAGCAAAAGGGTTTAAACTAAGTAAAAACATAGTAAAGACCTGGTCAAATGGAGGTGGAAACAGACACTGGAAGCAGACCCAGAATGCAGGCATACAGAAAGTAGACAAACAAAGTGGACATATAGGAAGTAGACCTACAGGAAACAGAAATACAGAAGTACAAACGCTATACAAACAGGAAGTGTTTATTGTGGAGGTCCTTACCTTACCCTCTAATGGGTATTAACCACTATAGCTTTGTGGATATATCCGTTTTACCATCTGTGCCTCTGTATCCTCTGTTACTGATTTATGTAACAATAGGGCCTCTGAATCCTCTTGGACCACTCACATACTGTACAGTACAGTCTGTCCTCTGAATGACTTCAGTGTTAGAACATCCTGTGTCCAAGGGAATATGTGGTTTACATAAACATTGAGAACATCTGGTTTACAAATGCATTTCGTTTCCTTACCTTATATGATGCTCTGTCCCTTAGATTTATTAGTATTAATGTTGAATGGATTCCATAGGTTGAGGTGGAGGAGACTCAATGTTTCTATACTACTCTTCCTGGCTGGTCGTTAAGAAAATCTTGAATTGGTTAAGTGTTTGTCGTTTGTTCTCGGTATCTTCATAACCATCAAGACTCAGAAGTTCTGAGTCTTGATTGTTATGAAGATAAAATAACAAACGGCAAACACTTTAATCTAATTCAAGACTACTTGAAGAGCATACATAGCATACAACTTCGACATCTCAAACACCCTTTTTTGCCTTAAACCTATGGAATACATACAATAGTGATCATAATAAATCTCAATGTTCCAAAAAGATAGTAAATACATAATGGAAACCAGTTGTCCCTTGGACAAGATTTTCTAATCACTAAAGTTTTAAACCATATTTCATCACTGACATCATTATTAAATTACTTAAGTCATTAACCAGACAATGACGTACCCTCTATTCAAGCAGGAAACAAAGGGAGTCGCATGTTTTACCCGTGTTACAGAGATGCACAGTTAGCCATAGAGAAAAGTAGTTCCCGTCACTACAGAATTACCCCTCACCTCTGTGTTCATGTCAATAACTATTTTTTAATTATTTCTCTCTCAGGTCTGCAGTTCCTGGTTCAGTACAGCGTTACTAGGGCCGGGGCCTCGTCTCCAGGCTGGGGCTTCCTGTGTTTGCTGTGTGAGAGGAAGTTGTCAGATGGACTCAGCGTCGCTCACATACACAGCTATGAACACGTCACCACGTTCCTGGTAAATATACACACAAAGATATACCAATTTGTTGCTCCTACACAACACAAAAATACTATTACAGCCCTCTTATACAAGTCTGTGTGTGTAGGAGCGTGCCTATCCAGGCTCTCTGGAAGAGGTAGAGGAGTCTGATGAGAGGAGGAGCGAAATACTGCTGGACCTGGCACAACAAGCTGAGAAAATACATGCCACCGGGCACCTACAGGTAACACACACTCCACCAGACGTGTCCAGGTAAAACACTCCAAGCCACCACAAAAAACCCACAGTTCTACCCTGTAGTGATGTATTGTCCTCATCTCTCTTCCCTCCCTCTTTCCTTCTCCCCCTATCCCTTTATAAGTTCATGATATTGAAACGCTACATCGGGGAGTCAGTCATCTACGAGAGAGGTCAGTGTGTGTGTGTGTGTGTGTGTGTGTGTGTGTACATTTGTTTGGTCACGTTTGTGTGAGTGATTAACTCTGTATTCTGTAGCCTTAGTGATCCTGAAGGCGATCAAGAAGAGAGAGAACAGGGGAGCACTGATGCCCCTGCTACCACCTGGCAAGAAACTGGGTTAGTTAGAGGGGAGGGAGAGGTGGGAGAGACATTTAGCATTACAGGTAGTGATGAAGATGGTGATAATGTTACTGTTTCTTAGTTCCCTCCAGTTCGATCAGACACCAGAGACTGACTACCCCAGAACCTACCCCTGCTCCTACATCTGTAGGAGAGGAGAAAGAGACTGACAAAGACAACAAGACAAAGATGGACAGAGAGACCACCCCAGAAACCATTCAAATGTCCCAGGAGACTGGGGTGGAAGTGGACAAACGCATTGACAAAGAAGCCTGCAGTGACCCCAGTACAAACACTAGCAGAGAGGCTGGCAGAGGGACCAGTAAAGAGGCTGGCAGAGGGACCAGTAAAGAGGCTGGCAGAGGGACCAGTAAAGAGGCTGGCAGAGGGACCAGTAAAGAGGCTGGCAGAGGGACCAGTAAAGAGGCTGGCAGAGGGACCAGTAAAGAGGCTGGCAGAGGGACCAGTAAAGAGGCTGGCAGAGAGACCAGTAAAGAGGCTGGCAGAGAGCCCAGTAAAGAGGCTGGCAGAGAGCCCACTAAAGAGGTTGGCAGAGAGCCCACTAAAGAGGTTGGCAGAGAGCCCACTAAAGAGGCTGGCAGAGAGCCCAGTAAAGAGGCTGGCAGAGAGCCCAGTAAAGAGGCTGGCAGAGAGCCCAGTAAAGAGGCTGGCAGAGAGCCCAGTAAAGAGGCTGGCAGAGAGCCCAGTAAAGAGGCTGGCAGAGAGCCCAGTAAAGAGGCTGGCAGAGAGCCCAGTAAAGAGGCTGGCAGAGAGCCCAGTAAAGAGGCTGGCAGAGAGCCCAGTAAAGAGGCTGGCAGAGAGCCCAGTAAAGAGGCTGGCAGAGAGCCCAGTAAAGAGGCTGGCAGAGAGCCCAGTAAAGAGGCTGGCAGAGAGACGATAACAGAAGCTAGTCAAGAAACCAGAAAGGAGAGCAGGAGCAGAGGGAAAGATGAGGAGAAAGAGACTGACAAAAAAGAGTCCAGTAAAGACACTGTCGGAGTGCCAGGAAGAGAGAGTAAAAAGATGACCAAGGAGAAAGAGGCAGAGCTAAAGACTGAGAAAGAGACTGACAAAAAAGAGACCAGTACAGAGACTGTCAAAGAGTTAAGGAGTAAGACTAGAAACATGACAGTCCATGAGACCAGAAAAGACACTGGGAAAAAGACCAGTACAGAGACTGTCAAAGAGACTAGGAGAAAGACTGGCACAGACATGGAGAGGGAGACCAGTAGAGCCAGCAGGAGAGCTGTTAGTATAGTGGCCAGCAGAGCCAGCAGGAGAGCTGTTAGTATAATAACCAGTAGAGCCAGCAAACGCGAGACCAAAGGAAAGCATGGTAAAAAGCCAGAGACTTGTAAAACACCTGAAAAGAAGACCTATACTCAGACTGTGAAAGAAAAAACTGAAGGTATGTTCATGTTTTGAGTTTATATGGTGAGTGTGTTGGTTTGTGCATATGTGTGGTGTAGTCGGTAGTTTTGAGTGTTTGTTTATTTTGATCCTTTTCGCTGTTACAATTAGCTGTGTGTGTGTGTTAATTTTGTGCACACTCTCAATGAGTGTGAGGTGAGTGGTGTAGTCGTTATTATTGACTATGTGTTTGCCTTCCAGTGACTCCTCCCCCCATCTCCCCTCCAACCACTAATCTGTGGGATTTCCTGAAGAGGCAGAACCGAGAGGCTGTGATTGGTCAGTATGTTTCTGCAGTGTGTTTTAATGTAGTCCGACACATTCTTCTGATTGTTTAGCAGAACAGATGTATTATTTGACCTAAGCAGGGCTGATTGAGATGAGCAATATCCAGTGAATTACATAGTCAGTCCTATTCAACGAAGAGATAATGAACAATGACACGTTATCAGACTGTGAGTGTTGCGGTGAACTAGCCAGAGGATCTGGTGGAGGTCCTAGTCTTTCACCCACACCATTCAGTCAGCAGATCAACCTGGGATTGGTGCTCATTGTCACTGATAGCTCTCTGGGTTAAAACAGTTTAGGTTTGAGAATGAGGTCAATGGAAGGCTTGTGTGCAAATGTTAAGTGTGGTGATCTCAAGTCTGAATACCACACTTAGTGCGCATGTCGGCGCGAAGACACTGCCTGTTTAACTATTGTGAATGGGAGGGAGTTTGCGGATATGTGAAGGTCCGATGAGATCTTAGTCGCACAATTTTACATCTAACTAAGATGTTTGGTGCAGTATTTATCAAGTGAAAAAGTGTGCATGAATATATACTTAATTGAAGAATTCTTACTGCTGACCAATGACCGATGAAGGGGCATAGCGAAATCCGTCTTGCCTTGAGGAAAAAGGTAGTGTGCATGAACAGCGGATTTAAAACCCTTGCCGAAGACCAAAATGAACAAATACGTCACAAAAGGTTGTAATAATATATGCACGAACTGTTCTGACCTGTTTCGGATGGGAAGCATGCGGAAGCCTTTAGTCTCACGTGGCAAGCCTTCCAACATCCTGTCTCGTTCACTCGACTATTGGAAGTCTGGCAAAGTTGATGTTTGTATTTATAGTTTGAACGGTCAGAGAGGTGGTGGCATTCAGCACTCGTATTTAATTGGCTCTGAGTAGAAATTATGTTTCCCCTCAGGAGAGGCATTTCCTTGATCGTTCCTTGTACGATTTGGGCAAATAATCTAATTGCATATATTTTTTAACCAAATATTGTGATTTGCAATTTTACTTGTGATATAGATAAAAACACTTGGGTAAACTGTTGGAGTCATGGGAATATAATGATTATTCAAATTCTTTGGTTGGAATTCAGTGGACACTTTGAATACTTTGTTTGGCATGAAAACGAATAAAAAAGCCAGGGAGGCGTTATTGTGACACGGGAGGAACCAAAGGGTTGATCAGTGTTTCCCAGGGGACCCTAATTAGACTTGAATAGATGTTACATTTTTCTCTACTGTCTCTGATTCATGTAACATATTCATCTCTCTGATGAATAACATGCGTACTGTTGCACAAACAACATGCTGATCTAGGCCTACAGTACCAGTGGTATCATTCTGTATTAGCTAGCTTAGCTACGTTTCCTCTGGCTCAGGGTATTTGGCTAACTAGCGATTTAGCGTTATCAGCTAACTATTCTTGTGGCCACAACTTGCTAATAAAATCCAGACTAACTAGATATTTGCAGAGAGTAAGATACACAAACTAGCCTAATAGTGTAATTATAGGGCAAATGTGGATTTATATTAAGAAGCAAAGTGGAAATCAGCATCGTTGTCACCAACATCTGTTGCATTGACAATGCAATGACCATGCAGAGCGAACTTGGAACGGCTAGTCTGTGCTCCTTGAGTGACAGGGCGAGTCAGTGTGCCGCAGGAGAGTGGGGGAGAGGGACAACTCAAACCAAGTCAACTATAAACATGGATGTTACACGCAGCGGAGTGGAGTTACAAAATATTGCAGATTTGCAGACTTTTTTGATTTGGATATTGCAGATGTCAATATCACAATTTCGATGAGAATTTGATTAGTCAAGCAGCCCTATCATGAGGCATTAGTTTAATATCTTATGGAAGATATTTATTTTTGGAGAAAAAAAAGTAGCTTTGGAACTGTTTGGTTTGATAGTGGCAACACATCACTAGTGAAGGGCAGGCAGACTCAAAGAATAGTCAAACAGACCTTCTTTAGGATGGCAAGACTTTATTCAGCAGCTCTTAATCAGTAAAGCATACTTCAGCATATGGAGACGTTCTCAAAAATCTGTATGCTATCATACCCTTTTTATACTTTAAAACTGGGGAGGTCCCTAAGAGATCCTCCCTCGGCTGCCATACCAGATTGTTACTTGATTGGTTGATATAGCTAGTGCTTACACGTTATTATGCACAGAACGGTGGATATGCCGTATGTAATATAGTGTGCGTTTGGCTGTCCGGACAGTTTCGATAGTTGAAAAATGTCTCTGATTGAACTTACCTTTGTTTTAGTCTTCCCTTTTCTTAACCTCAGCCCTTCCCCTTCCCATGTTAATAGGCTGAACCCTTCACTAGTTTCCATCTAGACTAACAAACTCCACCCACGCAGACTATTTTCTCTGAGGAGTTACTTCCCCAGGCATTCAAACTACTGTAAGGAGCCTGGGTTTCCGAGGCTACAGCAGACTAGAGGAAGATCCTGCTGGAGTAGGTAGAAGAAGCAGTGAGGATGTTGATGTCCGTGAAGGATCAACTAACATGAAGTCATCTTCAGACCTGGTCAGAGCAGGTGAAGAGTCCTGACGAAAGAAGAATGAAACATAAGAAAACAGATGAGAAGATGGGAAGGACGACATCAACATGCAGAGTTACAGACCATAACCAGGGATTACCTTAGCTTGAGTCTGCCTGATGCAACCTGTGTGTTCGGTCTCTTTTAGATACTTTGTTATTGGCATAACGTTATTGGGATCATATCTGTGTATCATATCTGTAATCTAACAAGGCAATCAATTACATAACTTTGTCAGGTCAATGGCACTGTAGTGTGTGAATGTGACACTTTAGGTAGAGATGCATGCAATTGATATTGTGTGGATGAATGTGTTTATATTATTAACCTGTATGAAAACTGCACAAACGTTCTGAGTGTATAGAGATACTCCTAGTACAGAGCACAAATAATGTTGACATGGCGGGGGGGTGGACTTAAAAAAAAATATATATATATATATTTTGTAGGGGTTTACAGGTACAATATAGAAATTAATATAATTTCATATTTAGTTTATATTCACCTGTGGGCTGCCACTCGAACAAACATTTGAGAAAAGTTACATGAATATAAAGTGTTGATCATTATGATCATATTACAGAGTAAAAAAAATTATAACAAATGTAGTATGTAAAGGAAAATAAACAAAAGTGAGTCTCTACCCACAACCTCCCATCCCCCCAACCAACATGTCTCCATCCAACCACCTACCCACCTCCCATCACCCCTTGGGCCTGAAGGCAAAGAAAGTTTATATATATATACAGTGGGGAGAACAAGTATTTGATACACTGCCGATTTTGCAGGTTTTCCTACTTACAAAGCATGTAGAGGTCTGTAATTTTTATCATAGGTACACTTCAAATGTGAGAGACGGAATCTAAATA